ATAAACATTGCAAAAATAATATATTTTCAATTATTCTTTTCTCAAAAATTACGCGTTTCCGTATATTGAGACTTTGTGTGTGTGCTTATAATAGTGTAATCTTTCTGTAAACATACGTATCATCACCAAACTCCACTGACGTCAATGGAAAGTCGTACCCCAACTGTTACAACTATGGAAAATGTAACACCTTATACCATAACTTATGAAGGCCTATGTTTACTAGTAGCATTATGATAGTCTGCAATGAATGAATGATGAATGAAACATAATAATAAATTATTTTTATAATAATTTATTAAAATTTTAAGTTGATGGCTGAATTAAATGAGGAATTATATTATCTAAATACTTAATTGTCAACATTATTTTATGCACAATCGCACACCTCTAGTCTAATAATTACAAAATCAAGGCTGTCTGAATGACAATGACAGACAATCTTTTATGTTTTTATTTCAGATGATACAGTTCAAATAAACTTAGTGTGATATTTGATCAGCCATTATAGAAAAGGTATGAGGAATAATTTTGCTATCAAAACACATAATAATTGATGGAAATGTATTAAAATGGCAACATGATGTGTACTAAACAGACTGCAAGCATACTCAATTGCGCTTATCAGATAAACTAAATGATGAACATGTGATTCCCAACGAAGTAAAAAAATTAAGGTAATAATCATGTAAAATTTAAATTGCAAAACAATCGCCATTCTAAAACTTTAGTTCAGATAATATTTTTGTTAGGATCAGTAATATGTTTATATTTTTGAGCAAATCTGATCTCTGTCTACACCACTGAAATAAATGAATTAATATTAATTCCAATTTTAAGTGCAAATTTATCATGTTCTGGAATATTGTGACGAAATCTGTGTGTCTAAGGAATAAAAATATTTTAAAAATGTGGTCACCAGCTCCGTGGCGTAGTGGCTTAGCAATGAGTTGCAACGCTTGGGGCCGCGGGTTGGAATCCCGCACGGAACGTGTATTTGTACGGCCTACATATAATTGTTCCGGGTCTGGATGTTTGTCCTTGTGCAATATATGTTTGTAAACTGCCTCCACAATACAGGAGAAAATCCTAGTGTGGGGGTAACGTTTTTTTTTTTTAAAAAAAGCACCTTGTCCAACTCATTGTTTCATACCCCTCTGAGAAATGACATAGAGTCTGTGCCTCGCAGTAGAACATTAATATAGACTCCAATAGATAATTGGCTACTTTACAAATACTTTTATCCTCCCAACCTTCTATCAAAAATCAATGTACTTAATTATCTTAGGTATCAATGAAAATTATGTTCAAAAATTATTGGAAATTTTTGTATAATTGTGAAAGCTTCTTAGATTTATGTGAAAGTAACTTTATCTGATTACAATGGCCTCTTCTTGTCTTGACATTTTCTATGCAAACATTTATAAACAACAACAATTACAATTAGCGCAGATATTCAAACTTGTAATTTACATATTTAAATATTCCTTTTTCCAGCTCAATACACTGGATATCGAATGTATTGAAGAGAACCTTTCCACTGAAAATATTAAAGTGCAAGCAGCAAGGGAGCAATTATATGTTTACTCTATAGCATATACCACAAATGGGATTCTGAAAGGCACGGACATCATTAAAATCGAAAAGTGTACATTTCCACCAATGCAAAAAAAAAGTCTTAAACGAGTTTACAAAAGTTAAAAAAATAAATCATATAATAAATATTATATACAATGCATATATACAATGCATTTTATTTCTACGAATCCTCCTTCTTCATAATAAAATAATAATAAAATAGTATTTAAAATTATATATATAAAAATATTATATAGGTATGTACCTATATATATATACATATGTATATATTATACTAGGCTGAAATAAAATTATTCCTTTGCCTATATCCAATTCATATTTAAAAAAAACGAAATGTCATGTTCTGATTTGCTCTACGGTGGAGGTGGGCAAAGTGTATCATTTTTCCGATTGGAACATTTGCATCTTAATCACTGAAATGTTCCGAAACACTGATATGTTTCATTTGGCTCATTTGGATCATCGACTCAAAAGATATAAAAGAAAGAATGTTCCGAATAGGTACATTAAGTTGCGTCGCGGGCGTAAGAAAGTAAAGTCACAATCAAAGAGAATATAATCACTACGTTTAAGTCACAATAATAATGTGGTCACAATAATCACTACGCAAAGAAATCCTAAACATAACTCAGTATGTTTTCGTAAATAGGCGCTAATGAATATAAACAATTTGACAAGTGCCGCATCAACGTAAAATGACAACTTGTTAATGCAAACGTTACATACAAAAAACGACCGTATAGTATTTGACACATAAGCGCCTTAGTGGTAATTTTTACGTGTATGAATAACGTCAGCGAAAATCCGTACGAGTTGAGTGATACACTTCTTATTTGTTATCTCTATCTGACTTGTGTGGATTATAATTATTTCACCCGCTCACTCGCCACTCGTGAGTCAATAGTTAAGTTAATCATTGTCTCAGTCTGTCTCTCTCGCTCGTGGCTCAGTCGCCTCACAAGCGACGCGTCGGGCGAAATGAGCAAAGAGCAAAGTAATGTTTCACTGTTCCAGATACAAATGATACATTTGAAACATTGTTCTTCTTCTTCTTTCTTAGTTTTATGGCCCCTCTTTTTAGAATTCTGCCAATGTCAAGTCAGTCATGGGAGTGACAAGAGAGTGTTTACAATAGTTACAAGTTATTATTGTTTGTGTAGGTCTTCACAATCTACAACAAAAGACGCCACAAGTTTATAACCATCACCATGTTAGTAATCTTACAACTTAATTTTATTAGTTCTAATATAATCACACAAAATATTTACAAAGGGAGTAAACACAAGGGACAGTAAGTATGAGAAATTAGTAGGACGAGGGATGTAGTTAGGGAGTATATCATAAAAGGAGAAGGAGACCTTGGGGCACTCAAAAAACAGGTGGTTAACTGTTCCTTCGCCTAACCCACATTCACAGATTGACGTATCCCTAATCCTTAATTTAGCTAGGTGTACAGGTGTGCAGGTGTGACCGAATCGGAGACGGCAAACAGTTGAGGTAATCACTTTACTAAAGTGACGGGTTTTAAAGAACCAAGGTTTTAGGGGGATATTATTTTGGACATTAGCATAATTTTTACATTTTATAAGTTTTGACTGATGCCAAATGGTTTGCCATGAGGAGTGTAAACTTAAGTTAGCCTTCGACAGGAGGTCATATGAGTAAATATTGTGTTTGGGTAGTAATCCAGATTTAGCTGCTTCCTTAGCTATCCGATCAGCAAACTCGTTGCCCTGAATCCCACAGTGAGCAGGTATCCACGCCAAGACAATCCTTAGTCCCTTTTTATGACATTTGAATAGAGACTCTCTGATAATTAAAATTAATGGGTATTTTACTTTTAATTGAAATGGGCTGGAAGCAATACTTTGTAAGCAGCTAATGGAATCTGATAATATGAGAGTTGTTTCAGGCTGTGAGATTCAGCATACAAAACTGCCTCTAATATAGCCAATGACTCACCTGTGAGATTCAGCATACAAAACTGCCTCTAATATAGCCAATGACTCACCTGTGAATACAGAAGAGTCAGAAGGGGAATTAAAATTTAAAATAATTTTATATTTAGGTATCCACACTGCGGATCCTACTAAACCTTTTTCGCCGACCTTTGAGGCATCTGTGAACATAATCACCCAGTCAACCCACTTTTCAGCTAGAATCATGTTTAATTTAATATTTGGTTCAGTGCTGTCCTTATAAATGCCAATATTTAAAAATATGTCTGGTTTATATATTAGAGCCTCATAGGGACTATTGTAGAGAGGGTTCCTAAGTGACTTGGAGATTGGAGAAGGAAGATTGACAAGTTTGGAATAGCTTTTTATAATGCATGGCAAATCCTTATGTGACCAATATTGGGATCGCTTGACTAACTGGTTAAGGGAATGTAGTTTGGATAGGAGAGGATGGTGCGAATAACAGGTAGCTTTAAATAAAAATCTGTCTGATAAATACTGTCTTCGGAGAAAAAGAGCAGGCTCGACACATTCCACTTGGAGAGCGAGGATAGGAGTAGATTTCATTGCTCCTGTTATGATTCGGAGACATTTTGACTGGATTTTGTCCAGTATGTTAAGTGCCATTTTACTACATGGCTCCAGTAAAAAACAACCATAGTCGAAATGGCTTCTTATTAATGCATTATATAAAAGCTTTTGGGAATAAGGATGGGAGCCCCACCAGGAGCCTGATAGAGATCGGATGACATTTAAATTTTTTTCACATTTAGCAGCTACATAGGATAAATGTGGGATACCTGTCATTTTACTGTCTAGAAATACTCCTAAAAATTTCACTTGAGTCTGAGAAGGTATAAGAGAGTCATCAATATGGATAGGCTGACTGAGGCTACTGAGTTACTCTTACTAGCTGAAATGGACAAACCATGTTCTATAAGCCAAAAGTTGAGGAATTTAACTGTTTGGGATAGACGGGAGATTGCTTGGTCAAAGGAAATGTCGGATGCATATAAGACTAAGTCATCAGCATACTGTAGGACATTAGCTAAGTAGTTTACAGATCTATCAAGTTCATATGTATAAAGGCTGTATAACAAGGGGCTCAGAACTGAGCCTTGAGGTAATCCCTTCCAGGCAGGTCTAGGTGATGTGAGCTTGCCTTCAGAGCGAACTAATATGCGCCTCTGCGAAAGCAGGTTTGACACGAAATTTGTGATTCTCTCCGTGAAACGTTGTTACTGAACCAATCTTTTGTGTAACTTCATTGATTCGTATCAGTGAGTCTTTTCCGTAAAGAGATACACACGCCTACTCTACGGTCCAAACTAAATGTACCAGAGACGTCCGTCTGAACGCGTAGTGTTTCTCATAGATAAGAGTGTATAGTGTTTCTACTTTCTATATAGTAGCTTGCTACATATATATTTATCTATGCTATATAAGTAGCTTGCTACATATATATTTATCTATGATATAAGTTTGTGGTAGTTGTAGAAGACTGTATAGTAACTGCCAATCGTATTGCATTTTGATATTTTTGAAAACTCAGGTTTATTGATGAAAAAGTGAATTCAATTTTATTAAAGCTATAGAAAACAGGAATGGCCTTCAGTGAAGTTTGTAGAATTTGTTTATGCGTTAATGTTAGCATGCTTGTACTAAAGAAGACTAGTCTCCGAAATTTGTACAAAACATTGACGAACAGTTTTGTAAGTTTGTTAATATTTCTTAATATTGCAAATTGAAGTTGCGGTAATTTGTTGTTATCGCCGGAGAAATACATTATACCTTGCCTGATATAAAATGCGATAGATCGGGGCTAGGCTAAGGTGCAGCGTTAAATATAGTGCAACCAGAACCTTAAAATCAACAATTAGCCTTAAATCCTACTACATACTAGTCTAATCCTACTACAGACTTAGTTGTTTGCAACACTCGTTAGAACCAGCGGGCTTAGCTATTTCTGTTTCTTCCACACGACTTGCACTGCTGCATAGAATTTTTCGCGGTGTCTGTTCTAGTATATATTATGTCAAGAAATTAACATCCACCCTGGTTTGGTCTTCCACTCACTAAAAACCGTTCTATCAGACTTAAAGTGAGAGATTAGAGTGCACATGTGCTTACAGGCACAAAAATTCCCTCGCTCTCATATTTCTTGTATTCCTAAAGACACAAGTCTGAGAAGGGAATAATGTGCACATGTGCTTGCTTACACACACATGCAATATAATCCTGCCCTGTAATAGTCTCTATTGTGATTGAAATTCTGTCCATAGGAAATTATTATTGTCATACTGCTGCTATATATCTATGTGTCACAGGTGGGTCGGCTGCACTGGGATGGTACTATGGACTAAACAGAATACCATTGTAAAATAGCAGTTTAATTCTTCTCTGATGTGTATGGTGTGTGTAGAGAACTGGACATACTTTGTACTTAGGTGAGGTGTTCCGTAGTGGGCCTCATAGGTGACAGCATTATCTGCATTTTGATTCTTAATTGGGGATTAATTGTAGATGTGTATGGGCTCACTTACCATCAGGTGGTACTCTAATAGTAAGATTAGGATGAAGAGAATTGTGGTAGCCAACTGATTTTATTACAAACTTGTATATTTAAGTAGTTTTCCATATTTATGATGAGCTTTCATATTTTCAGATGGATGAGGATGAGGAGCCCATTATTGTCTGTTTCACCTGTCATGCAAGACTCATTCGTTGCAGAACATTACAACAACAGGCTATTGAGTCAAAAGCAGTTCTGGAGCAGTTGCTTGCAGGAGGGTCCATGGTATTATCCGTTCCATCCATTAAAACCTATAAAAGCCCCTCATAAATTGCTACATATAGGAGGGATTTTGCCCCATTTGCCATGCTCGGCAGGTTGGCAACAGCAGTTTATATTGGTCTGAGTCGTTATCACCAAGATGCTGTTACCCAACTCCAATTTCTGTTTCCCTGCTCGCGTACGTAGCTTACATCGAGCGCTAACCATCTGAGCTATCACGGCTCTTTATACTCTATTGTATATAAACGAAATATTAGCTATATGTAATATTACTCAGTAAACAAAAATCAACAAAGATCTTTGTCAATTTACAGCATTCGCGAATCTGTTTCGAAAAATTGTTGGGACTCGATGCTCGGGATGGATGAACTATCTTCATTTTTATTTAATTTTATTCGGAACCCTCCTTTTGTCTGGATTTTATTAATATTTGCAGTTGTTGTCAGGAAGATGCTGCGGCCATCTCCTGTTTCAGTTTCCCTCTGTCCCTTTTTACGACATCAGCGGGATGGTATGGTAGTATGGATTCTCCTACAGCAAAAAAGCCAGTGTAGTGGACACTGGCTTTTTCTCTTATTTAAAATATTTTTTTGGTTTCAGTCAATACCAAAATGGCATGAGGCTAGAGATAAGATTCAATTCACACCAATTAGTCATATAGATATCAGGCCAGTAGAGTGTGATATAGAACATGATTGTAAGAACGAAATGTTTAGCCTTGAATCTGTGAAAGTTGAGGAAGAGAATTTCGAAAATGAGTATTACAATTTTGAACAAAATGAGAATCATGAAACAGGTAAGATATGCACATTTTGTGATATTATTAAAATAAGCTAAAAGTTACCTAATGGCAAGTGGTTACTGTAGCTCATGGACACAAAATAATATTATAGTGACATATTGGGGCTTGCTGTGTAGTGGTGGTTACGAATATCCACTACCCCATGTCTTCCCGTGGGTGTCCTAAAAGGCGACAAAGAGAAACAGGCAAGAGATGGGCAGCAGCATCTTCCTGATAACAGCAAAAATACAATAAAAAAACTGCAGTTGCCAACCCGCTCGCCAAGCGTGGCAACTATGGCAAATATGCCCCTATGAATGTAACAAAGAGACGGCCCCCAGTCCCCGGCGGCCCCGCTATTCCTGGCTACGGTGGTGACCATGGTCACGGAGGGGCAGGAGGTGCTAAGAATCTCTTGTGGAGGTTCGGTTGCCACCTAAGACGACTCGACCTGGCAACATACAACGCATGCATTCTGAGGACTGACGAGAAGATTGTGGAGCTGGAAGAAGAGATAGACAAGTTATGCTGGCATATTATAGGATTATCCGAAGTCCGAAGAGAGGAGGAGGACACGGTAATCCTCGAATCCGGCAACTTGCTCTATCACCGGGAGGGCGACCATCTGTCCTAAGGAGGTGTCGGATTTATCGTCCACAAGTCTCTCGTTAACAACGTTGTAAAGATTGAGAGTGTGTCGACGATGGTTGCGTACCTTATACTCAGAATCACCAAACGGTATTTGCTGAAGGTCATACAGGTTTACGCACCAACCTCGGCACACCCCGATGGGGAGGTGGAGGAAATGTATGAGAATATCTCTAGAGTCATGCATTCCTCCGAAACCCAATATACGGTGTTAATGGGAGACTTCAATCCAAAACTAGGCACAAGAGAGAGCGGTGAGCTGAAAGTAGGGAAATTTGGAATAGGGCAACATAACCCAAGAGACCAGCAGCTGGCCGACTTCATGGAGAAAGAGGGACTCTTTATGATGAACTCTTTCTTCCAGAAGCGGCCCCACAGGCAGTGGACCTGGTCGAGCCCCGACGGTTCGACAAAAAATGAGATTGACTTCATTATGACGACCAGACGACAACTGTTCAGTGATGTCTCCGTGATCGCGAGGGTGAAAACTGGTAGCGATCACCCAATGGGCAGAGGCAACCTGAACCTAAACGTTAAGTTGGAGAGGTCTCGTCTAATGAAGTCAACACTCCGTCCCCCTCGTGCTCTGTTCCGAATCCCGAAACCTTTCAGCTCGAGTTACAAAACCGTTTTCAGTGCCTAGGAGACTGCAATGAAGTGGACGATATGGATGACAAGCTTGTGGAAACTGTCCATGCGGTCGGAGCTTAGTTCTGCAAAACCCGCCGCAGAAGAACACAAAAACTTTTCGATCACACTCTTAATCTCATGGCTATTAGACGGGAGATGAAGCTTCATTCTTCAACAGATTTGACAGCATACAGACAACTGAACAGACAGATGTCTAAATGCTTGCGGCGGGACCTACGCAACTTCAATACAGCTTGTATTGAAGAAGCAATCGAGCGGAACCAAGGCTCCAAAGTCTTTGCCAGGGATCTGTCTACCAGAAAGAGCAAACTGTCAAAGCTGAAGACCGCATGTGGCAGCATCGTTTCCGGGACACCTGAGATTTTGAGTGAGATTGAGAGGTTCTATGGACAGCTGTACACGTCATCGTTGGAGCCACACACAAGTGTGAGTAACGATCCAAGAGCGAGTCTTATCCGACACTATTCCGAAGATATCCCGGACGTCAGTCTGAGCGAGATTAGAATGGCTCTCCAGCACCTTAAAAACGGAGAGGCCGCAGGCGAGGATGGAATTACAGCGGAGCTTCTGAAAGCGGGTGGAAAACTGGTACTTGAAGTCCTTCATAAGCTCTTTAATTCCGTCCTCCATGGCGGCATTACACCGGAGGCGTGGAATAGAAAAGCGGTGGTCTTGTTCTTCAAGAAAGGTGACAACGCTCTCTTGAAGAACTACAGACCGATTTCCCTTCTGAGTCGCGTCTACGTGCTGTTTTCGAGAGTCATTACGAATCGTCTCGCGCGCAGACTTGACGACTTCCAGCCTCCCGAACAAGCCGATTCCCGAAAGGGCTTTAGCATTATGGACCACATGCATACCCGTCGGCAAGTTGTACAGAAGTCCGAAGAGTACAATTTGCCACTATGTCTGGCGTATGTGGACTATGAGAAAGCCTTTGATTCCGTCGAAATTTGGGCGGTGCTGCAGTCCCTTCAGCGGTGCCAAGTTGACTGTCGGTATATCGAAATGTTGAAGTGCTTGTACAGTAGGGCTACGATGGCTATCCGAGTACAGAATCAGAGTACGAAACCTATCCAATTGCAGAGAGGTGTAAGACAGGGTGACGTCATATCCCCGAAACTCTTCACCGCTGCATTGGAAGACGTTTTCAAGCTTCTGGACTGGAAAGGATACGGTATCAACATCAATGGAGAGTACATCACTCACCTTTGATTTGCCGACGATATAGTCCTTATGGCAGAATCGCTGGAAGGCCTAAGAACTATGCTCAATGACCTCAATAGTGTTTCCCAACGGATAGGTCTTAAGATGAACATGGACAAAACAAAGATCATGTTTAATGTCCATGTCACACCTATGCCGGTAGTTGTTGGGAGCACTAAGCTCGAAGTTGTTGACGATTATGTTTACCTGGGACAAATAGTCCGACTAGGTAAGTCCAACTTCGACCGAGAGGTCAATCGACGGATTCAACTCGGCTGGGCAGCGTTCGGGAAGCTACGACACATCTTCTCGTCAGACATACCTCAAAACCTTAAAACGAAATTGTACAACCAGTGCGTGTTGCCAGTGATGACTTACGGAACTGAGACGTGTTCCTTCACTGCTGGCCGTATGAGGAAGCTCAAGGTCGCTCAGCGAGCTATGGAGAGGGCTATGCTCGGAGTTTCTCTGCGTGATAAACTTAAGCTCGAAGAACCGACAACCGATGGGGAAGAAAGGTTCGCGAGTGGCAGCCTCGTACCGTTAGGCGAAGTGTAGGGCGACCCCCCACGAGATGGAGTGACGACCTTGACGTGGACCGTGCTTTGTGGCATTCCTTGGGGGAGGCCTATGTTCAGCAGTGGACTTATGAAAGGTTGTAATGATGATGATGAAATGATGATGGTTGGGGCGGATTAGGCCGTGTGTTCCAGACGGGTACCAATATACTCGACAAGGCGCCTTTAACTCTAACGTTACGCATTCTTAATAGAATGGCTGAAGACATTGACTTATTCTGTTACACCTTGAGTGAGTTCACTAGGGTAGGATTGTCTACAATTTCTTACAGTTAATGACCACATTTTGTTTTGCATGAGAACAACTACGCTGTCGCATTAGGTTATTCCTATCAAATAATGAGCTTCCTTAGATATTTTTTTTTAACTTATTTATTAACATCCCATCCCGCGGTGTGAGTGCTCCATGCCGGATGTGCTGTTCTCACAGCGCTCGGTTCGCAAAGCACTGCTCTCCCTGGACATCCAGAAGTCGAGTGGGCCTGACGGAATCCCCCCAATTGTGCTGAGGACGTGTGCTCCGGAGTTGGCACCGGTCCTAACGCGTCTTTTCCGGTACTCCTACTCCCAAGGCGTAGTCCCGAATTCATGGAAGACAGCTTTTGTCCACCCGATCCCTAAAAAAGGCGACCGCTCAGACCCGTCCAACTATAGGCCTATCGCGATCACCTCCTTGTTCTCCAAAATAATGGAATCCATTATTAACTGCCAGCTCATCCGGTACCTTGAGGATCACCAGCTGATTAGTGACGGCCAATACGGTTTTCGTCGGGGTCGATCAGCGGGTGATCTTCTAGTCTACCTGACCCATAGATGGGCGGAGGCCAGTAGAGTCCAAGGCGGAGGCGTTGGCCGTTAGTCTGGACATTGCGAAGGCCTTCGATCGGGTTTGGCACAAAGCGCTACTTTCGAAGCTCCCTTCCTATGGGCTTCCCGAGAAATTGTGCAATTGGATCACCAGCTTCCTTGCAGATCGGAGCATCAAGGTCGTTGTAGACGGTGCATGTTCTGACTACAAGCCTATTAACGCTGGTGTTCCACAAGGCTGTGTGCTATCACCAACGCTGTTTCTTCTGCATATCAATGATATGTTGCTAACTGGTAACATTCATTGCTATGCGGATGACAGCACTGGTGATGCTCTATACACCTGCCGTGCCAATATTTCTCGGGAAAACGTCGCCAAGTACCAGAACAAACTTGTGTCTGAAGTCGAGTCTTTGCTGAACAAAGTCTCGGATTGGGGGCGACTAAATCTAGTCCAGTTTATTCCTCAGAAGACACAAGTTTGCGCGTTTACCGCTAAAAAGAACCCCTTTGTCGTATCTCCTCAGTTTCAAGGCACTCCCCTTCTTGCCTCAGCCAGTATCGGTATCCTCGGAGTCGACATATCGAGTGACGTGCAGTTTAGTGGTCACTTGGAAGAGAAGGCCAAATTGGCCTCTAAAAAGTTTGGCGTGCTCAGCAGAGCGGGACAGTATTTCATGCCGGCACACCGCCTGCAACTTTACAAGGCGCAGGTTCGGCGAAGAGATGTTGCATCCCTTTGCATTTTCTTTCGCATCTACCATGGGGAGTGCTCTGAGGAATTGTTCGGATTAATCCCAGCCGCCAAATTTCACGAACGCACATCGCGGCAGAACTCCCGATACCATCCACACCATCTGGATGATTGGCGGTCCACCACTGTATGATTTAGAAGATGTTTTCTTCCTCGCACGACTTCCTTGTGGAATCGATTACCATCAGCGATTTTTCCGGACCGATACGACTTAGGGACCTTCAAGAAAAGAGCGTACTCCTTTTTAAAAGGCCGGCAACGCATCTGCAATTCCCTCTCTGGTGTTGCAGTTGTTCATGCGCGGCGGTAGTCACTTACCATCAGGTGAGCCGCATGCCTTCGGCCCATTGCCACTTCAGCTTATTACACTTAGTTTATGAAACATGCAGTATGGTAATGAAGGGGTTGGCTCATGCCCATAAGCTGTGTGATAACTGTAATAATCGAGTCGCTTGAAAAAAATATCAGTAATTATTTTATACATATATTGAGTGAGAATCTGACAATTCTAGAGAATTCTGAAAAACAAGAAGATTTGGAGATCGATGCTTTTGAAGATAGACATACGGATTCGGAGTACGACTTGCCGCTAATTGCATTTGGTTCAAAGATTAAAAAAGATGACGATGACATAGGTAAATTAATTAATGTTAACAAAACCTTTATCAAAAAATAAAAATAAATCACCACAAAGGAGATGTATAAAATTGGGTGCTTGACATCGTTTCTAACAGTCATACAAAAATATGGAGGTAATAAAATGATAACTTATAAGCATAAAATAAATGGTTTTTATCTCTGTAATGCTTGGGACAGTGATAAAAACATTTTTTTTAAACTGAAATACAAAGCTAATGCTTTTGCTTTAGCAATAACGAAAAGTTTTTAAATATCTTTCTTTATTTTGTCTATGGCAATAGATAATAAAGGCTATTTTTAAAATAAAATAGCCTTCCTTATTAAAAGAAAATTATAATATTGAAACATTGAAATGAATCTGTAGTGATTAACATTAAATAAAATAATATATTTAGAAAACGATTGAATAGGCTATGTCATAAAACATGAAAATATTTGAATATTAACGACTGAATAGGCTGTATGGTCATTCACCATTGCATATTCCGAAGGAGACTTAACTTGTTAACTTCGAGTTTCATCTTGTCATGCGGCATGCGCATTTGGAATTGTAGCTGTTTATTTTTTTTTTTGGATAGATTTCGTGTTTTTACTTTTGTGGATTTATTTAACTTTACCCTTGGATTTTCGCTCGGATCACAGGACAGTACTTTGTTGCGCCCACATAATGAAAATAATGTTGTAATAAGTTTTGAGAGGAATAGAACAGACAATGTACAGCCTCCGGCTGTTTTTTCAAATGCCATTTTATTGATAATTGCAGAAAATAGTTAAACAATTAAAAAAGGTTGAGTGTTATTTTACTGTATTTAATAATAACTACAAAACTGTATTCTTTTGTTCTTTTCAATTTTTTCAAACAACTTATCACAAGAACGAGTGATTTTACTACCTAACTTACAAATCATAAAACATAAAATAAAAACAAAATCCCAAGTCCTACAAAAATATTTTTTTTTTATATATTAAGTAGCAAATGTTAAATCTTCAAACTAAGACATATTCTAGGTTTGTTTACGCTGGGCTCAAGCTTGTATGGAATCAATTTCATCTCCTTTCTCTTGCATCAAGTAGTTGGAGATGTACTATACATACAAAATTTTGTTCTTTAAATACTTATTTACTTTAGTCACACCTAGGTTCCGCGATAAAATATCTTGCGCCCAGCGAAGCGAGTGGTTATCAGCTAGTGTTTAATATAATGGATTTTCGCAATGTAACGTCTGATTCTATTAATAATCTTTTTGTCTTGCCTTATAACGCGGTCGGAAGCCACCTCTGCCGTTTTTTAACATCCTTTGCGATTTCAGTTATTTTTAGGATGTGAGTACAAGGGATGATCCAAAAGTAATTATTGATAATGAATATTAAACACGGTGATTATTGTTAAAAAATAATTTATTTTTCCACATAGTGCTAACAAGTCAATGCATTTAGTCCATTTTTGCTCTAATCCCAGAATTCTCTTAGAAAAAAAAAATTATCTGCACCCTCCAAAAAAGCCTCAACAGCGTATTCACTTCGCTATCGACTGCAAATTTCTTGCCTCGAAGGTGTTCCTTGAGCCGAGGAAATAAATAGAAGTCACTGAGAGCTAGATCTGGCGAATAGGTTGGGTGTTCGAACAGTTCAAATCCTGTTTCTTGGCAGCCATTGCAACTGCGGCTTTGTGAGCCGGAGCGTTGTCTTGGTGAAACAGCACTCCCGCTCGCAATTTGCCGCGTCGTTTTCTTTAATAGCCTCCTGCAATCTTCTTATTTGGTCTGCGTAGTCGAGAGTATAAGCCCGAAATAATGGCTCCCTTTTCCAAATATTCCACCTTAATTATTCCTTCAGCGTCCCCAAAAACTGACGCGATAACCTTTCCCACTGAACTTGACACTTTGAATTTCTTTGGCGTCGGGAGGAGGCTCGGTTCCAAAAAGTTGATTGTTGTTTGGTTTCAGGATCGAAATGGTAGATCCATCTTGACCATGGTCACGAAACGTAATAAAAAAAAAACTGATCTGCTTGGAACCTTTGAGATTCACCCTCAAAATGTCGACAAATTTTTTCTTTTACTCGTCTGTTAACATTCTAGGTACCCAACGTGCAGAGACCCTTTTCATATGCATTTCGTTCGCAAGGATTCTTTGAAACTGGCATATGAGATACCTGTGACCTCAGCTATATGCCTGATGATCACTTTTCGATCTGCCAATACGACATCTTCGACTCTTTTTCACGTTATCTTCAGTGAGGGATGTGGATGGGCGTTCATCTTCCGTGGATGTTCAGCCCAGCGTGCAGTTGTGGAAGGAGCAGAGTCCATCAATGTTTCACCAAGTCGCTGTGTATGTCTTTGGTAGACATTTTTTTAAACAGAGGGAGCTCTCATTTAATTTTTCTTCATTTTGATGTTCTCTTTGATGATTCGTATTCAAATGAATGTACCTCTCGGGAATCGTAGCTTATTTATATGATTTTTTTAAATTCTGATCTAGTGGGTACATAAGCAAGCACAAAAGTTTTTTCGGATTTTCATGTGCACTGGAAATAACCTATTATCATTATTATCATATATTATTATTAGTATATAAAACACTATTATCATTTTGGATCACCCCTCGTATTTAGGAATACGATTTTTCATTAAGGTTCCGGTTCCATTTATATTTCTCCCCACTGTTTTCCAATAGAGGAATAAATGTGTGGAATAGCGGTTTTTTTTTAACTTTCATGCAAGTCTTTTCATTGTTGCGCGGCATCTAGCTTCGATTGTTAAGTTTTTTACATTAGTGCCTGTCAGTATTTGGAGACCTTCCGTACAGGCACCGACGTTTGGCGCGTAAAAAATAATATGGCCTAGCGCTTGACGGGTTAGCAAAAATCAATATTTAAGGTTAATTGAGAGGTGAAGCCTGATGATATATTATTCCTATACTGTTCCTTATGAAAAAACCCTTCCACCTTATTATATTAGTATAGATTACAAAGTTATAATGCAGTTGTTGTGTTATGTTCTTGTTATTTTTATGTTTATGTCATATTCTCTTACTCCTTAGGTGTCGTTCCAACCTTATGAAAGGCAGCCGTAGTGCATGCGATTCCTAAAAAAGACTGCGACCTATCCAAATACAGGCCTATCGTCGTCACTTTCTTGTTCTCCAAAATAATGGAATCCATTATTAACTGCCAGCTCACGCAGTACCATGAAGAGCATAAGATGATTACTGACCTTCAATACGGTTTCCGTCGAAGCTGTTAGGATCGATAGGACGGAAACGGCATGTATGTATGTGGCGACTGGGCCTGGGTTGCTAGCGTATTGTAAAATTTTACGGCAAACTCCTAGCCCCCGAGCTACGAGGGCTTGTTGTGAATCTTTGTATGGCCTACAAATAATTCCTCTATCTTAATCTTCCCGTAAACTTCCACAGCTGAACATGGAAGGATCTCTCCCGATGTAGGGAGGATTTGCCCTGAGAGTCACGCTTGGCATAGGACTGACGATCGCAGAACCAGACGTGAGCACTTTGGCAATGTCGCCTGGCGCCGGTCTGGATATTTTACATCTGAAGTAAACGAGCTGGTTATACCGCCATCTGTCGGAAGCCATCAGATTTCCTGGTAAACCCGTAGTCATCTCTTACGAAACCCACGGGATAAAATGTGATGATAAATTCATTTATGCCGCACTTACGCCAAATTCGATTGTACTGTGTGTATAAAACTAGTCCTGTGTGGAATTCGAAACAGCGATTATTAGATTAATGTAATTATAACATGGACGGAAAAACCATTATTTCCCTCAAAAATTAATATGAGAGACATTATTCGGGGTAAATGACTAAAATACTTTATATCTAGCAACATTATTTGGTATAATTATTTAAAATATTACAATTTCTCTATTTCTGCCTGGGTTAACCGATAGAGAATGCCATAAGGCATAAACTCCGCCCATTGTAAACCGTTTAAGGTGTAATAAAGATGCAATGACTTACAATAAATAAAAAGTTTAACTACGACATATAATTTTTCAGAAACTTCTGAAAAGAAGATTAAATCAAATTCTACTGATTGTAACATAAACGATGTTCGTAAAGAAAACCTCGATTTTGAAGGCCCTACTATTAAATCAAACCCTAAAGTGAAAATAGATAATCAACCAATTAATAGAAAAGGAAAGCATCCTGCAAAGATTATGAAAACGAAAATTTTGAAACAAAAGAGTGTAAATATACTTAAGAAAAAGACATCTGGGACATCAACTAAATACATTTTTGAATGTGATGGTTGTAGTAAAAAATTTTCAACAAAAGACATTCTCGCCAAACACATTTCATACAGTCATAAGACGCAAAAGAACTCAGACACCACTGCATTTCGGACACAAGTAGAATTAACTCCAGTACCACAACAAACAGAAATATTTAATTGTGATATTTGCGAATTTAAAACATCTCAAAAACGTAACATTTTGGCACATCTTAAAGCGCACGTCGCTAAACAAATGTACTGTTGTAATAATTGTGAATATAAATGTATTAGAAAAAGTGTGTTGCAAATGCACATGAAAATACACACCGGTGAAAAACCTTTTTCGTGTAATATCTGTGAATATAGATGTATTACAAAATGTCGTTTGCAAAAACATATGAAAATACACACCGGTGAAAAATCTTTTTCGTGTAATGTCTGTGAATATAGATGTATTACAAAATGTAATTTGCAAAGACATTTAAAAACACACACTGGAACAAAACCTTTTTCGTGTAATATCTGTGAATATAGATGTATTAGAAAAAGTCATTTGCAAAGACATATGAAAATACACACCGGTGAAAAACTTTTTTCGTGTAATATCTGTGAATATAGATGTATTACAAAAAGTCGTTTGCAAAAACATATGAAAATACACACCGGTGAAAAACCTTTTTCGTGTAATATCTGTGAATATAGGTGTATTAGAAAATGTGATTTGCAAACTCATATAAAAATACATACTGGAGAAAAATCTTTTTCGTGTAATAGCTGTGGATATAGATGTATTAGAAAAAGTGATTTGCAAACCCATATAAAAATACATACTGGAGAAAAACCTTTTTCGTGTAATATCTGTGAATATAGATGTATTAGAAAAAGTACTTTGCTAACTCATATGAAAATACACACTGGTGAAAAACCTTTTTCGTGTAATATCTGTGAATATAGATGTATTAGTAAAAGTGATTTGCAAAAACATATGAAAATACACACCGGAGAAAAACCTTTTTCTTGTAAAATCTGTGAATATAGATGTATTAGAAAAAAAGATTTGCAAAGACATTTAACAACACACATTGGAGCGAAACCTGTTTCGTGAGCTATCTGGTAGAATATGTACAATATTGTGTAAACGTGTTTTATATAAATATGTGTGTACCAGATAAAAATCTATTTTTTGTGAATTTGTGATGTAATAAAACCTTTCTGTGTCTTATGTGCAAATTGAAACTGCATTTATTCTGAAGAAGTTAATTCAATACCTAATTTAAAATATTGTACAACCGAATTCAATACAAACTATTAAGAATAATTCAAAAACTATTGGTCAAATGACCAACAGACCTTGATCAAATTTATATGGGATCACATGTGAAGCACCTGCTTTCAAATAAAAAAAAAAGAATTATCGAAATCGGTTCATACAGAATAAGTTAAGACGTAATAAACATAAAATAGAACATACAGTCGAATTGAGTACCTCCTCCTTTTTGTAGTCGGTAGAAAGCAAAAAATATTGGAACCTTAAAATAAATACCGAATGTGTGAATGGAGGTTAGTGGAAACAGACTAGACCTTCATGTTTTTTTTTTTATTTTGATGATAGTTTACGTTTTTCTTTTATCGCCTCGACGTTTATTGTTTCCGTTACAGCCCTTAAAACTACTCTGTTGAACATAGGCTTCCCCCGTGGCTTGCGTCATATTTGCCTTAGTTGCCATGCAGGTGGGTTGGCAACCGCGGTTTGTTTATTATTTTTACTTGTAATCAGGGAGACGCGGCTGTCCATCTTGTAGTTTGTTTCCCTCTGTCGCCTCTTACGACACCCGCGGGACGATACGGGGTAGTGGATTGTCTTACACTATATCACATTATGATGCTGTGTGGTGGTGTCTGTCTGTACGTGGTAGAGCCACACTGCAGCTATATTGTGGTTGTAGCACGAATGGATCGGTGGGTAGGACCACGCTCTCACAGAATACCAGCTTTCGTGAGAAAATTATGTTTCGTATGGTGAGTGTAGAGAACCGGCTATCGCATTCACTAGTAACAAGGCATTCCATCTCAGTCCTCATGGTGACAACGCATCTGCATTTTACTTCTCAATTGAGGATAAGGATTCTTAATATTTGTCAATGGGCCACAGCATTCACTTACCATCAGTTGGACTGTGTGCTCGTATGTCATCCTTATTCTATTTAAAAAAATCAACGATTATTTGAGGAGTCGACGGGTCACGTGTACGATGTTTTTCTCGATCCGTTCACGCCACGTCCCCATCCCGTCCGCGCAGTATGTATGCATTTTCACGTACATTTCCTAAGGAACGATATTTCCAAAACTTGACGTCCCGCTCCGTCCAGAATAAAACACGTTACGTATGCAGTGACCTGATCATGAGATATGGATGTATTTTTCCACACACTCAGCAAGTATATAATCACGTCGTCCAAAACTCGCTAAGCATCTTCGGTGAGATCCTTAATAATTGCAGATGTGGTCGGTCGAATTCTCGTAGTCACTCCCCGAAGTATAGTTCGTGTCCGTGTAATCGTTTTAATAATTAATTATTTTTAATCCTATTCAAAAACGACTATATCAAATATAAAGGTATGATAGTTAAACATACTGGTAATATTAAATTATTATTTATTCCAATCAAAAACTGTTTAGAAAACTGGTTTTAATTTATATGGAATGGCAAATAATTCCAGGAAATACTGCGGTTTGTAAATAAGTCGAAGTTTGGCACAAGTATTTAAATTGCTTTCCTTTTCCTGTATGTGGAGCTGGAAAAAAAGTTTAATGAATAATGGCATAAAACTAAAAAGGAGGAGCATGACATCAGAAACTGTTACTTTTTTTTAAATCAATCATTCATGTAGGCTTCTTTTAAAACAACCATGACAACAAAAACCATATGCGAAGCATTATTGTGTCACAATAATGCCTCGGATATGGTTTTTGTTGCAGCTATATTATGGTTGCTAGCACGAATAAGTCAGCTTGATGGGGAAAGACCATACTCTTACAAAATATCAGCGTAATTTTTTTCTCTTTATTTGGTCTACAAAACGGAAAACAATTTCAACATAGTGACAGGTATTATATAAAACAAAGATTTCAAAAATTGTATTCTGATATACAGGGTTATTGTGCAATAACCGGTCAAATTTGCAGAGAAGGTTCGGAATAAGTAATCAAGGCAAATGGTGAAGAAAAAAAAAATATTCTGATCCTTTTTATATTGTAAATTCAAAATGCATGATATGCGATAATTTTAATAAACATTTTAATTTAAAACAATGTTTTTCTGTATTAAAATGAAAAATCACTTCAATGACTTTTATTTTGTAAAATATAGGCCTTTCTTTGTGGTAATTTTTTTATGTCTGGCAACACGCCAAACGTTAAATTTTGTTTTAAGTAAAAAATTAAGGTGTAAATTAAAGCCACAGATTACCCCCTAATAGATAACGCATCGTTGAATATTTGTTCTGTTTCGAGTTCACCAAATTTGGCCCTATGCAAGGGTTGCGGGGGACGTGGCAAATGCGCTGTGAATGTGATTGGATATTTAAAGGTCAAACTTAGAATGTACCAAACCATAGTGATGGAACAGGGTTGGGACGTTGATCGATAAATTTGGGATTTATTGATTATTGATAATGATAAATAAATATATTGATCAATTTTTATTTGATGTTTATTAAAAAATTAAACATTGTATACATATATTTGTACATTTATTTAATTTAAAAATATATATTTGACTGATTTTTAAAATGGATAATCGTAGTATAAAATTGTCTCACAGAATTCTTAGGATCTGTCTTCCTGGATGAGTAGAGTATGTCTATGTATTTTTCCATAACACTCTTAGCTCAATCAATGACATGATTACAACTTTCGTGATCGAATTGGTGATTTTTTTAATTCATGAAAAATATCCTCATTAACAAAACTGCTTATTTATTTCTTTAATTATGCTTATTTATTTATATTTATTATTTTTATTATTATATATATTATTTTATTATTATTATTATTATTATTATTTATAATTAAGCTTAATTGATTGTGTTAAAACTACAAACTTTCCTAGTGTTTTTACAGAAGGTAAAGAAGTATTAAATGTTTTGCGTACATAATTATAAGCCTAGCTGAGTAATTTATGGTGAGTGCAAAAGCTCTCAATTGTGGCGAATATTTTTTTCTAACAATTTTGCCTGCTTTTCTAGATTTTGATTTTTCTAAGGAACCTAATGCATCATTGTTTTCCGCTGCTAATGAATTTTTGTTTTCTAATTCTACCAATAATGACTTCAAAGAAACTATTTGTGTTTATAGTCTTCTGTTGGAATCATTTAACTTTATCTTTTTTGTTCATTACGTTGGTTAATTCGATGATTCTTCTACAAAGACGTTTTTACTGGAGTATCAAATGCAGATGGCGTATCAGGTATAGCAGAAAATTTTCTTTTTTGTTTTGTAGGCGTTTTTAAGCAATGACTCTGATTTTTAGGTGTTGGCGGGTTTTTCACGGCTTTCAGCGGTGAACCAGTAATCTAAATCAGAAATACATATTCGTTTCTTTTAAAACATTACCGATATAGTATTATTAATTAATACACCATACGGCACGTCTTCCAAATTTAGATGTACTTAATAATTATAATAAGATAATACTGAAGTTCATGTAACACTAAATACAAAGTCAAAACAATAATCACATTATAACTTTTACAAGTTTTATGATTTATAAATCCGTTAAAAATAGCTTGATTTCGACGTGTAACATTTACCTAAATATAAGAATATCATGTTTCACTCAACCACTTAATGATATTATGGTGTAATCCACGTTAGTACTAATCTTTAAAAAAAAATGCAAAGTTCATACCAAAACTGGCAAGAATCCAACAGCTTTATACGGTTTTTCATAATATTGTGAAGTTTGTCTTCTGTGAAGTGTTTTGAGCATAGTACACTATTTTTGGTGGGAAACCATTCGTCCCCTCGACAATTTGCGTCGATCCACATCTTTTTTCCTTTCGGGGCATTTAGGAAACCTATATATACCATATAGGTACCACAATGATACGTCACTTTTTTTATAAAATAATATGACTTCGAAAAAATAATTAAACGATGACCAGACAAATATCGACTTAAAAATCACAACACTATCGATACACGTGCTGTTGTTAAGACAAAGACAACTATTGTAATTTACGTAACGAGTGAAAGGGACATTTCAAAAAGACATCAACGGGTGCTTAATTGTTATCACTTTGCACCATTAATGTACCAGTATAAGTTGATCTCCGGTGCATTTGAAATAGGTTAACGTGATAAGAATAGAATTTACTTACCAATAAAAATTTATGCCATCTTTTTGATAACTGGATGTCTTAGCTGACTTGTCACACCATTTTACTGCACAGGAAGCCATTTGTAATGTATTTTGGATACAAAACTATTTTAAAATTGTCAAGAACTCGGACGTGCCTACGGATCACAAACTTGGTCGATACTGATATCGTGATTCTTAGCTTCACTACGTATGCTAGCTACAGCAAGTATGTGTTGTGCTCGTTTGTGGCCCTGTATGCAGAATCTATTAGGGGGTAATCTATGACTAAAGCACAGAATAAATAATAGTACTACGTACAGAAGTTGCACTCTTTTGACGTCGACTGCTTGCCGACCTTTTAATAGTTATTATTAATCAGATAAATCGCACACGCAAGCTAAATAAAACTTTATCGCTGCGCGCCAGTGTCCGTATTACTTTGCATCTTTTTTCCTTACTACGTCACAACGGACTTTCCGTGGTTGCTAAGGGCTGTTAATAAAGAGTAAAAAAATACATTGTGACATGGTAAGTTACTTAGGTAAAGTACATATGCTGAATATAATCGACCACATTATCTACTATGTGAGTTCTGTGATGCCCAACGCATGCAACTTGTAAGGCCATTCGTCGGGAATGGCGATGCTTGGTTCGTAGATAGCGTAAACAACAAATAAACCCGAAATACGATTTATAACAGAAATATGATCGTAATCTACTTAGTTGGAAATCTTGTAAATAAAGTTTTAATTTCAGTATTTTGTGCTATTATAACTTAAAATATTTTAATTACAAAGACGAGTATAGGTATGTAAATAGGTACTTGGGTATTGAAGTAAATTTCAACTAAGTTTTGTAATAAAGTACTTAGGTACTACTTCTGTAGTTAAATTATTACTTAACTAGATGTGCCCGCGGCGTAGCTCGCGTATATAGGTTTTACTTAAAGAATTTGGCCTACTAACGCGGGAAAAAGCAACATAGAGTTGACCATGTGCAAAACAGTTAGTACTGAGGTCCACTCCTGGAACGCGTAAAGTTTGAGCTTGCGCTTTATTTACAGTCGTCGCATAACACACGCTGACTGGGAACTGAACACGCTTAAAACTGAAAGGAAAGTTATTTGGGATTAGAGGGATTCTGGGTATAAAAACAATATCACGACATTTTGTTGCAATTTTGTTAGTTTTTAATCGAGTTTCGTTGCATAGCTTGGGTGGGCGTGTTTCTTTTCTGGTTTCTGGTGATGTTGGTGCTGTTAACCTACACGGTTCTTTCAACTTCATCGTACTCGTGGCTACAAATTTCTTCAGTGAGTCTCAATACGATTAAAAAAAAGCGAATAATCTTAACACCGCAATTCTTTTTTTTTTTTGTTTTGCGCCCAAAATGAGGCTACCCTCGAAGAAGCGGGGGAGGAGGTGGTGAATGCTCATAGCATACCACGGCAGCCGGCAGCGTGGTTATGTCGGACTCACTTTGAAGAAGTGCCTACCCACTAAACACCACCTGTGGGACTGGCATTGGCCATTATGGCCTTCCTGCCGAATCGGACGCGACCCCATTTAGGAAAAAGGGGCGCCACCGCAATTCAGAAAAAGTTCTAATTTATACAACGCGATCTATTACGTTCTTTGTGAGAAAACATACTTTTTTTAATTTAAGGAAAACATATTTTTTTGTTTACTGTGTTTTAAGAATATTATAATAGAACGTTTTTTTTTTACACACGAATCTTTTTATTACTATTTCTGAGTTTTATGGCGCCTTTAAACAGATTCGAACCTACATTTCAAAATAATAATAACTCGATAGAATTAACCAATTTTAATAAAACAAAGATTAAAAATGAACTCGAATATACGCTTTATGCATAGATTAATGATAAGTCATCGCGTGCTCTGCGATGACTTATCATTTATCTATGGCTTTATAATTTTCTTAACGACTTCTTTGCAAAAAAGATGTTTACTCAAAACGTTATGCGTTCATAATCAAACAGACAGACCGACAGACAGACAATTCTAAAAGATATAATAAAAATGTACTTATTTAATGATTTTCAGTCCCCATAATGATTTTAGTCACAAACATACCTACTATACAATGTACATAAACAGACACAACATGTTATCACCATGTTTATTATATGTATAGATTTAAAAAGAGATGGCGCTGTTAACATTAATTCTAAAAATAAAACAGATTAATTGACGCAATTGATACATTAATAAAACATAAACACACTTATTAATCAGTGCGTGCATAGTAAGCAAAAAAGAAAGTTTGATCCTAGCCGAAACCAACGAAATTGTTAATAGCTCTTTTAAAATTTTATTTACCAATTAGTATACCCGGCGGTAAAGAATAATTGAGTTTGTCAACACGCAGTAGGGCAACGATTAATATAAAGATTAGCAGCAAATATGAAAACTCATCTACATACAGGAAAAAACCACAACCTGCCTTTTTGTATTAAATTTGTACAACACCGCCATCTATCGATGATATTGGTTAACTATTGTACTTTAGACTTTAAGATTAATATATTTTTGTACATACTTATTACGTTCTTTTTCTTTAATACTTTTGTTTACTTCGTTTTAGATATAATTATATCATTATAGAACATCATTTAATTATGTTTTATAATATGATTTTAATTTAAAATGCACTTGATGGCTCAATCAACGCTACCATTGAACAAATTCGTACATATACCTCGTACCCATACTTCAGAATATTTATCATAACTTTTGATGGAATGAACTGATTTTAATGAAATAAAGACTAAATGTAACCCGAAGATACACTTTATAATTTCCTTAATGATTCTCATGATATAAATTAGTACTTTATATGTGATACGTTAACAAACAAACAGACAGACAGACAATTCTAAAAACGGTAGAAATGTATTTAATTAGTTATTTTTAGTATCTCTCAATCACTTTTATTACAAAAATATAAAATGTACAG